TGGTTATGATAGGGAAAAATGGACGGTGAAAATTTAAAGAGAGTTAAATTGGTAACATCTCATACTGAGTTTTACCATCAGAACTTAGTTGGTTGTTCTTGCATCGCTGGAGCATTAGTACAACGAAGATATCAACCAAATTCTAAAGAGCTACGTAGCATGAGAGAGTTAACTTAAGAACAATCAAATGAAAACGCTTGTACAAAAAATAATAAAAAAGAACACTTAAAAATAAATGTCAAAAGAATTGACTTATTCAAGAGAATGAAATATTAAAAATAATGAGGATCATTTAGTGTGATCGAAGCGAAGCTAGGTTTTTGTTGCTGGCAATAATGCTTCAAGTGTTGCCCATTGACTTTAAATATGCTTCCATTCACCAAGTTTTCAATAATACTGCACCAAGAGGGAAAACTTCAAGAACTTCAAAAGGGCATGACCAACAAGAATACAACTTGCCAGGGAATAATTTTAATCTTGAATTAAATAACAACATTTGTTGTCCAATAATGAATTTCCTTGGAAAAATATTGTGTTCATGACATTTCTTGCTCTTATCTTTATAATGCATGAACTCTTATAGGCATTATTTTGAATTTCCTCCAATTCATTAAGTTCCAGCATCCACTGTTCACCCACATATTCAAGATCGAAATTCAGCCTCTTTAACACCCATAAAGTTTTGTGCTCCAACTCCATCGTTAAGTGACTTGCTTTACCATAAACAAGACGATAGGGGGACATTCCCAATGGAGTCTTATAAGTAGTTTGATAAGCCCATAGTACTTCTTCGAGGTGTTGAGAGTAATCCTTTCTAGAAGGGTTCACAACTTTCTCAAGGACTTGCTTGATTTCTCCGTTAGACACCTCAGCTTGAATATTAGACTATGGATGATATGCTGTAGCAATCTTATGTTTCACTCCATATATATTCAATGCCCTAGCAACCTGATGACCAATAAATTGAGATCCTTCATCACTGATAAATGCACGAGTTGTTCCAAAACGAGTGAAAATGTTTTTATGCAAGAATCGCAACACTGCTTTAACATTATTATTTAGCAAGGCTACAACTTCCACCCATTTGGATATATAATCTACAACAACTAAAATGAAGAGGTTACTACATGAAGAATGAAATGGACCCATAAAGTCTAATTCCCACACATCAAATAACTCGATCTCCAAAATAGGTTGTATTGGTATTTCATTTCGACGAGAAATATTTCCAATTCACTGAAAGTGATTATAATGCTTTACAAAATCATTAACATTCTTATAAAATGATGGACAATAATATCGACACTGAAGTACCTTTGCTGCTGTACGCATACCACTAAAATGTCCACCATATGGGACACTATGGCAATGTTGCAGAATGTTTTGCGGCTCACGCTGAGGAATACATCGTCGCATGAGTTGGTCGTTACATTGCTTAAATAAATACAACTCCTCCAATGGTATTGCTTTACATCCCGCAAAAATTTCCTTTGGCCTTGGTAATTTAGGTCTGGTGGCATCATGCCACTAACAAGATAGTTGGCAAAATCAGCATACTATAGTAATGTTGTAGCAGCTAGCAAACGCTCATCAGAAAACTCATTTGGAATCATCAAAATGCTACCATCTTTACTGTCAGACTCTAACCTAGACAAGTGATCTTCCACTTGATTATCAGATCTCTTTTTATCCTAAATTTCAAAGTTGAATTCCTAAAGTAACAATACCCATCTAATTAAATGAGGTTTTGTATCCTTCTTAGCAAACAAATGCTTCAGCGCTGAGTGAAGGTATAAACAATCACTTTCGTACCTACCAAGTAGGAACGAAATTTATCAAAAGCGAACACCACAACAAGCAACTCCTTTTCAGTTGTGGTGTAGTTGATCTGAGCTTCATTCAATGTCCTACTAGCGTAATGTATCGCATAAAATATTTTATCCTTTCGTTGCCCCAACACTGCTCCTACCGTGAAATCACAAGCATCGCACTTTAATTCAAAGGGCTAAGTCCAATCCGATGATATAATAATAGGGGCATTCACTAACTTCAATTTAATTGTCTCAAAAGATTGAAGTACTTCATCATCAATAACAAACTTTTTGTTTTGCTTCAGCAATGAGCACAATGGCTTAGCAATTCGAGAGAAAATTTTTAACGAATCTTCTATAGAAACCAGCGTGACCAAGAAAGCTTCGAACTGCCTTCCCATTAGTAGGTGGAGGAAATTTTTCAATAACCTCTACATTTTCTTTATCCACTTCAATGTCACGGCTTGAAATTCGATGCCCAATCACTATGTCTTATGGGACCATAAAATGACATTTTCCCAATTGAAAACCAAGTTGGTCTTCGCATCTTCTCAAAACTGTAACCAAATTGCTCAAACACTTGTCAAAATCTTACCCAAAGACTAAAAATCATCTATAAAAACTTCAAGGTAATTCAATTATATTGGAGAAAATGGCCATCATACATCGCTGGAATGTCGTTAGAGCGTTACACAACCCAAATGGCATTCTACGAAAAGCAAAGGTGCCACACGGACATGTAAAAGTTGTTTTCTTCTGATCTTTTGGAGCTATAGCAATTTGTTTATAACCATTATATATATCCAAAAAATAATAAAAAGTATTGCCTGTAAGTCGATTTAACATTTGATCTATGAAGGGCAATGAAAAATGGTCTTTCCTTGTTGCTTTACTGAGCTTCCTATAGTCCATACATATCCTCCAACCGGTAGTGGTCCTTGTCAGCACTAGCTCATTTTTATCATTTGTCACCATAGTAATGTCACCCTTCTTTAAAAAGCATTGCACGAGACTAACCTTATTACTATTCTAAATCAGGTATATGATCCCAGCATCCAACCATTTTAGAATCTCCTTTCTAACCACTTCTTTCATGATCTGATTCAAACTCCGTTGGTGTTCAATCGAGCTACTATTAGAATCCTCCAAAAGAATTTTGTACATGTAAAATGAAGGACTAATACCTTTTATATCAGCGATGCTCCACATGATAGTCTTCTTATGTTCCTTCAGCACATCTATCAACTAAGTTTCTTGTGATGTTATAAGTTGTGCTACCACAATAACTGGTAACGTCTCATTTTCTCTAAGATAAGATTATTTGAAATGCTCTGGTAAGGGTTTCAATTCAAGATTCGGTGCTTCTTAAATAGATGGCTTTGGTGCTTGAGTCATATGATCATGTACTTGCAATGGTTCTATGCTCTGAAGATACTTGCTACAGATTTTGGCTTCTTCATCTGTCAAGAATTCTTCAAATGCTTCGAAATCACATAAAGTATTATCTTCGCTATAGCATTCCTCTAGATGCTTCTATGTAACAATATCAAGCACATCAAGTGAAAAACAGTCAGCAGTGTCATTGATGTAAGAAACATTATTCAAGACATTAAAAGTAATATGTTCATCATTCAAACGTATAGTTAATTCTCCCTTTTCAACATCAATCAAAGCTCATTCCATCGTAAAGAATGGTCAACCGAGAATGATTGGAACATCTTTGTTCACTTTATAATCCAAAATAATGAAGTCTGTTGGAAAGATAAACCTATCCACTTGCACAAACATGCTCTCCACAATACCACTAGAATGCATGGTAGAGCGATCAACAAGTTGCAAAGTAACCATAATAGGTCTTGCATTGCCGTTTCCAAATTTCTAAAAGATTGAAAACGGTATTAGATTTATGCTAGCACCTAAATCACATAAGGATTTACCTACAAATGTGTCACCAATGTTACAAGGAATAGTGAAACTCCCTGGATCTTTAAGCTTTAGTGGCAATTGACTAGTAGTCATAACGCTACAACCTTCAGTAAGAGTGATTGTCTCAAATTCACCAAGTCTTCATTTCTTCAAAATAATTTCCCTCATGGTTTAATATAATTCATATCTTGCTCTAAAGCATCAATTAATGGAATGCTCACTATAAGTTGGCGAAGTATATCGATGAAAGATTTGTATTGTTAATATTCCTCTGTCTTCTTTAAGCGCTATAGAAAAGGTAGAGGCATTTTCGTTTGTTGTTGTTGTGGCACTAGAGTCGAATCTGTATCAAATGCATCAGGGGTTGCCTTTGGAAATGGTTTTACCCCTCATCTTTCGCTGGGGATTGACTCATATTTGGTTCATACTCAACATCTTTACTCTTCCCTTTACCATGCCGATGAGCTTCCTAATTCTTCTTCCTCGGTTCTTCAACTGGGTCCCCAATATGAATTCCACTTCTTGTGGTAATGGCCTTGCAATGATCCTTACCATTTTGCTTAGGATCCTCAGTGTCGCTAGGTAGCGATCCTAGCAATTGCCTATTGAGAGCATTAGTCATTTGTCCCATCTGATTCTCAATAGCCCTTAAAGAGGTAGATTTGAAGTTTGGCATTGGTAATTCTTCTTTTACTATGGCTGAGCAACATATTGATGTACATGCGGCTGCGGTATTTGACTCTACTAACTGTACTATTGCCATTGATATTGTTGATGATATGGATTGGCAACGTTCTGACTTTTTCAATAGAGATTATGATGATTTCTAAAATTTAGGTTGTATGTGTTTCCAAACGCATTATCTTTCATTTGATAATTTCACATGTAGTATATTGATTCTCGATTTTGGGGGCATTCATCAAAATTATGGTCATCACCACAATATTCACAAGTGACAAGAGATACGACTTTAACTTCATACATTCCTCCTGGTTTATGCAATTTCTTCACATTTCAATCAATGTTGAAATCTGAGATTCCATAGAGTTAAAAGCTTCTGAGTCTACTGTTGCAGTTCCACTTCGACCAAACGTTTTGCGCGTATTAGGGTATTGACAATCATTGGTGGAAATTTGCTCGAGGATGACATATGCTTCATTGTACGTATTATCCAGCAAAACTCCATTCGTTGAGGCATCAACCACCATTTGAGTGTGAATATTTAGCCCATTATAAAACATATCCATTTGAGTCCAACGTGGGAATCCATGCATAGGACACTTTCACAACAAATCTTTAAATCTTTCTCATGCTTTAGACAAACTTTCACCATCCATCTGCTTGAATGAAGTCAAGTTATTTCGAAGCTTAGCATTGTATTTGATGGGTTGAATCACAACAAAATTTTCTGCACTAATTCATTCCAGGATGCTACAACACATGGCGGTAGTGAACTCAACCAACTCCTTGTTTTATCATACAATGAATAAGGAAATAGCTTCAGCTTCAGGGCCTTCTCCGAAACACCTTGCTTAATAAAGGAATCACAAACCTCTATAAAATCTCACAAATGGGCTATATGATCTTCAACAATAGAACCTCTATATTGTCCCATGGATTGTAGTATTTGGAACATAACTGACTTGAGTTCAAAATTTGCAGTATTTATGATTGACCTCACGATACCCGGATGTAGATCATCCAAAGTCAGTACCATATGCTCACGAATAGGGTGATTTCAATTATCTACATTATGATTTAGTTTCCCAACACGAATTTTAGCTGGTAACTCATCATTCTCTCCATTCTGCAATGGGGGTAGAGAATTGTTAGTATTTCCAACATTCATGTTTGATTGATTTCTAGCAGCTTTTCTTCAACGGCGTCAGAAAGTTCATTATATCTCTGGATCAAACGATTCTAGCTCATTTTCACTATGGGTCATAAACTAACAAAACTAGTAAGGATTAGTACCTATAAAAAGAAAAGAAATCAATAGGTAAGAAAAATAAACTTTAACGTACAACCGATGCTCCCCGGAAATGACGCCAAAAACTTGATGCTACAAAAATTCTATAGCATACAACGCAAGTGTACGTATCGCAAATCAAGTAATAAAGTGGTAGCAAACTAATGCAATGGATATCGAACCCACAGAGAGCAAAATGGTTGTATTAAAGTTTTTGACAATAAGATGAATCAAAGGAAATTGATGCTAAAGTTAAAGTAATGTAATCAATAATAAAATATACCATTTTATGCTACAACATTCCAGGAAGCAAATGGTCAGCTATCAAATTGACGAATATACTATTATGAATCCTAAATTCTATACAAGCGTTGAATACTTAATATATGTAATCAGTATTGATTAAATCCATTTAAACTACTTTAATAATTTTCATCAATTAAAGATTCAAATCATTAGCAATGATAATCAACTAGCTGCACACTTTTCAATGTAACTATTCTACTCAGCAGCACTAATGTTCACACAAGTATATAGCAACTCGAGTAAAACTACTTTTAAATTTAAACAAAAATATTATATATGTAATTGTAAATAATTCTACTCGCAATCATGAAGTTCAAAGCTCATAAACCAAATATCCAAGAGAACATAAAATAAATAAATCCATAATAAACATCCAATAAAAAGTTAAACATTCGAAAAACTCCCTCTCTCAATATAAGGTGTTGAACGGTGACCCGCTGACCATTGAAGCTCTTTAGCAAGCTTCATTTCTGCTGTAGCAATCCTTGATAGAAGATTTAGGTGTCTATATCTTGAAAAGAAATAACGTGGAAATGGTACTTTTGATCTCTCACCATCTTTACACTACTTGCACTCAAGTACTCCCCGTTTATAGCTTGAATAAAAATATCATCGCCCAACAAGATAAATCCACGTTTCAGGTGTTAACCGTCCACATGACAGCTACCCGATCCAACTGTCTCAATCCAACAGATTCTTTTAATCGTATGGAGTTTAGACGGCCGCTACAACATCTGATTAGCATTTACTGTAGTGCTACAACATCAGTACAATAATTTGCAGCAACAAAAATCAAGTTTAGCCCTTAACAACCGACTATGCTCCTAACATGCAAAATATGCAAAATTAAGTAAATTTAATCGTAAATTATTCCTAAATATGCTTAAGTTCAAACTAAGCTTAGATAATTAAAGCTACCAAAGATAACTCTTTTGGATAGTTATTAGTGACCGGATGAACAATCTACACTCTAGGAATGATGACCATTTTTTCCTTAAGAGTGGAAGTCAAACCTCTGAAGAAGGTCGCCTATGTGACTCTTTTACTTAAAGAGAACCTATGGTCCTCAGCCCTAGGTAAGAACCCCCCTAACGCTATAGGGATGAGAGGCTCGACTCTCCATCCTATCCTTGAGACTACGCTCAGAACTATCAACCATTGTAAATTTCTATAACACATATTAAAAGAGGAGTTATCATCAGGATTCTAGACTTATATGAGTACTTTCAGCACTTCGAGGGATGTATTCATTGACACCTTACTATAATTGACCACTTGGTCCGATGACCGACTTAACCTGAATCTCTGATACCACTAAATGTAACACCCTAAACCCGATTGAGCCTAAAGTGCCACATTAGGCTACCGTGGTAAACCCTGATTTTCAAAATATATCCATTCTAATTTATAAACATATTATGTGGTAGCAAAATAAATATATAAAATAGTCATAAAAATACTTTTATAAAATTGAATCTCTTTGACACATAATTTAATTTAAATAATACAACTTAAAGTTTAGAAATCCCAATACAAAAGTAAGGTTTACCATGTATCAAACACCGAGAATATAATAAGTTTATTCTTTGAAAATCAATATCTTTTGTATCTTTAGTGTTTAAAGGTCGACGTATAACTATACAACTAGGTTTGAAATTTGTGATGGTCCAAACATCCTGAAAATTCACAACAACTCAACGAAACATGTAATGTGAAAAAAAAAACAAGAAACCTCACAAGTCACTCCAAGGAACCAACACAACGAGAGGCAAGAAAGTCAATCTTGTACTCTTTAAAACTATATTATCCAAGAAGACTTTCAATGTTCGTATCGGAGTTTGATCACTAACAAAAGGGGAAAAAGAAACTTAGAAGTTATAAGAGGTCAAAGAAAGGAATGACTCCAAGTGAACAAGAATGCAAGGAAGAAGTAATATGCAAACTCTTGTAATCCTACTAAAACAAGGAAGAGAATGTGTTAGATGATGTAGAGGAATAAAGAAAAGGTTAGACAAAGGAACCTAAAGCAATAAGAATCAAAGAAAAAATTGGAAAACACAAACCTGGACAGAACCTAAAACGCTATATCAACTTGAGTAGTGTTTTTATGAGGTTTATGATCTCCAAAAATTATGATTTTTTTTAATTCTCTCCAATGAGTGTAGTTTAAATCTAGAAATTTCATTATGAAACTCTTTCGGGATAATTTTGGGAAAAACCGACAATGAAAAGAACTCGAATCTGCCTAACAACCGCAGGATCAACTTGAGAATGTTTATAAAGGGGTTTAAGATCTCTAAAATTCTAAAATATTTTATGGATGTCTTCCAATTGATTTCGTTACAATTTAGAAAATGTAAGAATCAAATTTGTTTTGGAAAGTTATATGAAAATTTGTCAAGAACCAGTGTTCAAATCTGCTGAATAATCTTGAATGAAGAATCAGAGGTGTATATTGATGTTTGATTGACCTTTATTTTGGAATATAGATTGATATTAGGAGGAAGAAAGTACCTGTAAAAAAATCAGCCCCAAATGCCTTTGTTTGTGATTTGTTGATTTTTTTTATTTTTAACCTTTTTGTTCTTTTATTTTTTTCAATGAAAATCAGCAAACTAACAATAAGTAATTGGAACTAAATTGAAATTTTTTGAAAAATAACCTGAAAACTATGAATCTTCGCGAACTAACTCTGTTGGGGTACTTCAGTGATTGATGCTTGAAGAACAAGTCAAATTGCTTTGATTCTACCCATGAATCATCCAAAATATTATACTAATTGATATAGAAATAGAAGTGGATGATGTGAATGTTTCTCTCATCAAGGAAACAAACCTAGAAGGTTCTAGACTCAATGAAAAAACAAAAGGCTTTGAATGGGTGAATTAGGGTTGGTGACAAGATTAAGGTTTTGAAGAATTTTAGATGCTATAAAATAGACAAGAAAAAAATATTAAAGACAATAAAAACAAGGGTAAGAAGATTTAGAAGAAATCAAGACGAGAAAACAAGGGTAAGATAATTGAATCAAAAGACAAAACTTGTAATAAAAGAACTAACTTATCTTCCCTTTTAAGATAGGTGCCCATAGCAATTGTTGTATTTTGATGGATGAATACTCATTGGAAAGGGAATGAATCAAGGATCGAGATGGTGAAAACGAAATTAAGATTGGATGGTTGGATTGATGGGAAAATTAAATATAAAATCTAGCACTGGAACCCTTCCAGTCGTAATGAAAAGATAAACTCGATAATACGGCTCTAACCATGACGGGTGTCGTTTTGCACATCAAAATAAATTCCTTCTTCTGGAATAAAATAAAGGAAATTAAATATAGTATAGGAGAAGTAAAGGTCGATCCCACAGAGATTAAGGAACCCGATGAAATTCTTAGCTTTTGATTCTGACCTTTGGCGTGAAATAGAAAGAAATAAATTGGGGTATTGTGGTTGAAGAATAAAACTAAGGAAAATTGATTTAAAGAAAATAGAGAAATGTAGAACCTTGAGAATTCAATGGATTAAATCAGCCTAGGCATTCGCTTTGACTCACATTCTTCGGATCATCGAAATAGATTTATCCTTCGGGATTCATGTTGGTTACTTTGTCTACAAGGAAAAATCCTTACGACTAACTTGTATACTGAATACCCAAGTGCAACTCTTAGATCTCGGATTTAGAAATTGATCTAATCAACATTAATTTTTGTAGATCAAGAACCACTTAAGTGCATAAAAATTGACTCAAATAGTTGTTTCCATACAAACCGTTTCCGATCTAAATTCTCACTTTAGCAACAATTTGCTAGTTGTGTTCCCAGAAAATGCATTTTCTATCAATTAGCCCATCCTTCCTCCCACATGTTTAATCACAACAATGTTTCGACCATCAACTACCTTTAGTTTTGAAAATTTGTTTTGATTTGAAATAAGCGCAAAAGAAATTAAGAAATATATCTGAAATTATTTAAGTGCTTTTCAATTCTCACATTAGAATTAAGTCATCACTTAGCCCTCGACTTAGACGAAAATTAGCTAAGTATGACCAAATTCATATTTAACGTTTTAAAAACAAAGCTTAAAAGAAAATAAA